TTCGTTTAATCTTCCTCTTTTTATTAGATCGCAACTTTTTTTTCTTCATTTCTTTTTCGCTTTTTATCATATAATCCCCCTTATTCCGATAGTATCACGTGTTCTTTTTTCTTCTTCTTTTCCTTCCGGTTGTCTTATTTTTCAACTCATTCTTTTTATTATTCTTTTTCGTGTTCACTGAGATCTTGTTTCCTCGTTTTCATTTTTGATTCTTAGCCGTTGTCTTTCTTTCATTTTCCTTCTCTTATCTATAGCTTCTCCTTATTTTCCTTTATTTTTCTTTTATTTCTTTTTCTTGTTGTTACTTCATTCAATAATTTTTCCTTTTCCTTTTTTTCCACTGAGGAATTATCTTGCTACCCTATTTTAATTTCTCCTTTTTTGTTTCGTCGTCGACATTTAATCTTTTTGATGTTTTCCTTGTTTTTTCCTTTCTTTTCTTCCTTCCTTCCTTCCTTTATTTCGTTCTTTCTTTCTTTCTTTTTATCTTTTCCTCCTGAGCCTTTTCCAATGTATTTTCTTCTACTTTCTTTCTTTTTTCCTTATGATGCAAATTTTCTTCTTCTTCTTCTTCTTCTTCTTCTTCTTCTTCTTCTTCTTCTCCTCCTTCTTCTTCTTCTTCTTCTTCTTCTTCTTCTTCTTCTTCTTCCAGACCCATTCAAAATTTCCTCCTTTTTTACTTTTCTTTCTTTGTTTTATCCTCGCAATCTCATTCAATTTTCTCTCCAATTCTTTTTTCTACTTCTTCTCCTTCTCCTTCTTCTTCTTCTTCTTCTTCTTATTATTATTATTATTATTCCGGTTTCCTTCCTGCTATCCGACATTTCCTTCTTATTCTTCATTTCCCTTTTCCTTCAAAGCCACTCCATTTTCATTCTGCCATCTTTCATTTGCATTCATCGAAATAACAAATATCCTCTTGGCTTATCTCTGCTGCTTGTTTTATGGCAACTACAACATCCTAATAAAAATTCCTTTTTTCCAAAACAATCGAACATATTCTTGCTATTCCACTCATGGATACACTTTTCTTTTCATCGTCCATAAAAACTGTCTCAATGCAATAATAAAAAAAAATGAATCATCGAATATGATTTCCTAAAGCAAAATAGAAGTTCACTCTGTCTGATCAAAGAAAACATTCTTTTACTCTAATAGAATCTTAAATGTTTAATAAAGAAGAAACCCTTTTCCTCGGGTGAGAAATTATTTCACATCTATATTGAAGTGAAACAAATACTTCACCCAGAGGCGCATCAAAGAATATATATTACACTTAGACGAGCTGGGCCATTGATACTTCCGGCAGGATCTTCTTCCGATTTGCTAAAAGCTTCATTTAGTTATTGAACAATTTCTGTACAGCCCTTTCTTAAAAGGTCCGGACATCTCAACCCATTATTAAATATCTTTGATAGAATGAGTTCTTTATATAAAACGAAAGACTGGACTGTTGCAAAAGTTTTCGTTCATTTTCACACAAACACTTTTCTGTATTTATTTCATCTGTCTCCCTTTCTCTTTCTGTCATTCGTTATATCTCGGTATATATATATATACACACATATATATATATATATATATATATATATATATATATATATATATATATATAGATATATATCAGAGAGAGAGAGAGAGAGAGAGAGAGAGAGAAGGAAAAACTAAAGTGCCAGAATGTTCTGCACAAATACTGCAATATAGATAAAACAATGATATTTGAAAATTCAACTGGTGTTTTATATATTTATATGCAATATATATATATTACATTTTTTCATCTGAAAACCTAAATGTAAATAAAACAATTTTAATATTTATTGTCTTAAAACTTGTATTATAAATATTACACATAAGACATCAAGTACTTTTTAAATCTTACTATTTTCTCTGTCTGTCTGAGTATATATATATATATATATATATATATATATATATATATATATATATATATATATATATATATATATTTCATTACAGAAGACAGAAAAGGTACGACGATTAAGCTTTTTATTTATTTTTCTTGTGTTCGAATATGAGTTTTCTTTTCAGGACAGTGCGTGTAGAAATTGTCCCAAACTTCTACAATTACGAGCACATTCAGTTTATACTTTTAGCCATTGTCAAGGATGAATTTATTTTTGCTTTTTAATTGGGTGTATGGTTTGTGAATATGCATAAATGAAGAATTTCTGCCTAAATACACAATATTTACATATATATATATATATATAAAAAATATTAGTCAACACACACACACACACACACACACACACATATATATATATATATATATATATATATATATATATATATATATATATATATATATATATATATATATATATATATATATATATAATATTTAAATATGTATACATACATACATATATATATATATATATATATATATATATATATATATATATATATAAAATCAAAGAGGATAGAATCAGGGAGAACTCAATGTCCAGGACAGAGTAAGAATATAATAAAAGGCTTAAACACTAATACGATTCCAATGGAATATTAGTGTTTAAGCCTTTATATTTATATATATATATATATATATATATATATATATATATATATATATATATATATATATATATAAAAACATCACCATTTACGTTAGAGCAACAACTGTTGTATTTAGGGATCCCATTCTAGCATTACCAGGGTTGCAAGAATTGAATTCAGTTGATTCTAATTTACATATACCTACATGTAATCCCATGAGACATTATTGCTGCACGGAACAAACTTACATGTTAGAAAAATAAACATTTTACATTTATTTTTTTCTCTATTTTAATAGAACAAATTCGCCAATCGTCCGATTCACGCTCCTACCCGGTCTTTTAAACAGGACTAGAATTTTCAACTCATATTATATTTCTGTTAACATCACAAGTAAAAATAAGATTCAGATGAACACAGTAATGCTGTCTTTGAAAATGATGAAGACTAAAATATTTATCTTGAAATAAGCAACACTCTGATGATGAAAAATGCTCAGAATAAAATATGAATCAACACGGTAATTTTCTCTCTTCCATTAATGACACCAAACTGCTTGTATATTGCGTGTATCATATATTCAGAAAGTTTTAACTACATACTTCTGATGATCTTTCAAGCGTAGCTTATATGTGGCACAAGACCGAAAGCATGGTGCACCTAATGTGTTTCGATCTCAGTACTCAGTCGTAATTGATCTAGCGAGACGAACTTGCTAACCATTACACCACCTTGGGGCGCAACTACATACTTCTGATAGTTAGCAACGGTTGTGCCGTTTAATATTCAGCTAATATTGAGCTGGTACTATAGTCGTGAATATCCCTGTCTGTTGCGCAGGAGATCGGAGTTCGATCCCCTGCCCGGTAATATCTATCCTATTTTAGAAAGCACGGTTGAGTAATACATAGTGTAGTGAAAACAGGAAGCCCGAATAAACTTAAAGACACGCTTTATTCTACTTCATCAATATTTATTTCTGTAAAAAAATACAGAAAATCTGTCTTAATTTAAAACTTAGCTAGACAAAACACTGACCCAATCATACAAAACAATATTCCTACCACCAAAAGAATACGTTCATACTTAGCTTTCTTACTACATCCACCAAAATACCTCATTGCCTCAATGAAAATCCTAAATAGTCCCCATATGTACAAATCGTTGTCTGAGGTGGTGAGGGGATGAAAAACAACAAGTTAAAAATGTTGATTATGTACAATTTACATGTAACTAAACAAAATCATGTTAGTAATAAAACCCTCCACAAAACTTAAATGTGGCAGAAATATCAGTTAAGCACTCACACAGACACGCACTCATTCTGACACAAAATCAAATACGAAAAACACATACGCGAAACGAAAGACACCCCGCATCTACCAGAGAACTGACATCACTGACCACCTAACGAGGGAGGGGATGGGGAGTTAAACTAATAGAAAATAGGGACAGAAATAAAAGAGGCCAATGAGAAAACACACCCTAGCTAAGTTTAACGGGTGAAAAAAAACGAAAAAACTAAAGAATCATAAAAACCAAAACCTAAACTATCTTAATTTCAGGGAGAGGTTGCCCAAGTTCAACCCAGGAAACAATATTCTGATGCCTAACCAGCATCAAAATACCACTCAAGATCAGCCCCTTTTACTTGGCATAAACGCGCAAAATTCACCCACATTTTACAAAATTCTGATGAGGTGATCCGCTGCCTTTTCCTTCTAATATTGACTTTGAGATGATGCTTAAAGAACATGTTCAGTTGGGGAAAAGTGAACACAGCCATCATAGAATCCCTTTTGACGCGTCGTCCAAATCACGACTCTCATAACACCTAGTAAGCAAAAGAACACATGTTGTTCAGACTTCGTCATCTGCGGCACCACATTGCTACAAACGGCCTAAAGGACAAAGGACTTTCCGCGCAGCATGCGAACCATGAGGCCTTCAACAAACCTGCACAACGGCGCTATCATCCTGCAATGGAAGAAGGCGTGACCAATGGTCTTGACTTCCCCACTACAGCGTCGGCAGTTTGGAGATTTCTCCAAGCCCGCTGAACAAAGTCTTTTGGCGATCCAGTAGGCCCCAGGAATCACCAGTCAGTTGAGTTATTGAGGCATTTCAACCCAGGCGTCCAAGGACATATTGAGCGAGCCTCCTGCTTCGTAAGACCGAGCTCAATCAGCTCATCACGAACGGACCCCATTATTAATACTTGATACAATGCCCTACGAGACAACGCCTGGACGTTGGAGAGGCCATCTGACGCCCATAAGAGGCATTAGTGTGGCATACGGAAGTGGAAGTACAGAGAGTCGGGAAAGGAGAATCGGTAGTTGTGAGAAACACATACTTCCGCCCTCCCCTTCGAGAAAAGATACCTCCGGGAGCACAAATAAATTGCGATTTCGGCCTTTTCTTGTACCTCCGCCCAAATCAATTCCAACTGATATCAGGACCGAACCAGACGCCGAATATCTTGACCGGCCCAACCGTCCAGAGGAAAAGTCCGGGAAGAGAAACTCCTTTCTACGAACCCAACCGCAAGCCAACAGACTTATTGCGGTTGATCTTGGCCCCTGTCGCCATCTCATAACCACTGATCTCTTTGCTGACTTCGTCAATCTAGGCTCTGCTCAACATAAGAACAGAAACATCATCAGCATAGGAAGAACCCTGGCCGAGTTGGTAGGCCCAGGCAGAGAAATTCTGCGCAGGATCGGATTCGCCTTTAACTTGCGAAGGAAAGTTTCCAACGCAAGAACGTAAAGCAAAGGCGAAAGTCGGACAACCTTGACGAATGGAGCGAGACAATACAAATGGCTCCGATATTACCCAATTCACTTCCACCAGCGCACCGAGAATCGCATACAAATGTCGGATCCAGGAACGAACGTCGGGCCCGAAAGGTGCCGCCGAAAACACAGCCTCCAGAAAACTAGGGTCAACCCTATAGAAGGCCTTGGACTGATCTAAACTAATCAGCGCGGCTTCACTGTCGACTTGTTCTAAGATCAAGCGTGCCATATGAAGGTCGTCCTGAATAGTCCTGTCCTCCACAGCACAAGTCTGTTCGGAGCCAATCAGACTAGACAGGACAAGCTGCAAAAGGTTGGCTAAGATCTTCGCCAAAATCTTTAACTCTGTGTTTAACATGGTTAAAGGGCGAATGTTATCTAAACCATCCCCACCGTTCTTGTCCTTACGCAACAACTTGATCACACCCCTGGTGAAGCTTTGACGTATAAACCCCTGCTTCATCCAGTTGTTGAAAATCAGTTCCAGCAACCGGCGACGGCCTAAAGTAAACTTCGTAGGGAGGACCCTCTAGTCCCGGAGATTTATCCAGGTCAACGTCTTTCAGCGCTTCCCAGATTTCCGACTCTGTGATGGGACTCTCGCACCCAGCCGCTTCAGCTGCCTCAAGGCAAGGAAAGTCGGCTAAATATGCGTCGAAATGTGCAGGGCTCAGACCGGGTTCCCTAGTAAAAAGTTCCTGAAAGTAATCCTGGAATGCCTTGCATATGCCCACGTTTGCAGACACGGTCCGCTTATCCGGCAATGCGACGCACGTGATATGTCACCGAGACGCGCTCCGATTCTCCTCTGCGCGCAATTCAGCGGCCATATTCGTCGCCTCAGATGATATTCTTTTTAACCTAGCCCTAACTACCAGAGATTGATCCTTCTTGATAAGCAAGGAGGACATCCCTGCCTTACCTAAAGCGATTTCCCCACTCTCACGGGATTTAACTGCCCGATCGACATTTTTGTTCTAAATTCGTTTGCACCGCTACTCTATCTAGATTGAGTCGACGACTAAAATCGGCAGTAAACATTCTAATTTTTGATTTTAGTTTATTCCATCAGGCGTTCCCTACAACCACCCCGTCAATTCCTTCTTATTATTAGTAGCAGCTGGTCCCGGAAATCCTGCTGACCAAATAATGAGCAGTTTAATTTCCAGTAGCTAGCCAACCTTACCTTAGGCTTATCTAAATGAACACGACCCCAGACAAGTCTATGATCCGAATTAACTATCTAATGGAAACTTGGATACCCTAAGAGCCCTACATCGACTCTCCTAAGACTCGGTCGAGGTAGCTAGAAAGCACCCCAGGAGCCGAGCCGCCACTATTTGTCCAATTCCAAAATACCTCCCGAGGGTTCTCATTCTGGTACTTATCGACAAGATCAGACCTGTGGATAAAATCCCGAAATGGTTTCACGTCCCTGTTGTTAGTACCCGAATTTGGCCCTATACGATCTACATCGGGGTCAAAGACGGCATTCCAATCCCCCGCTAAAAGTACACGATGAGATATCGTCAAGAAAGGCTCGATCTGCCGAAACAAAGCAGGCCGCTCAGAATGGTTATTGGGCGCATAAACCTCAATGAGACACAGAGACTTATTCTTTATGGTAACATCCAGAACGGAAAGCCTTCCCGCCGGATCTGCGAAGACAAGAGTACATGCAGCCTTCAAAGACTTGCTCACCAGCCAAGAGACACCTCGTGAACGACCATCAGAACATACTGAATAAAAGGTGAAATCCCTAGATAGTATGTCCTCATGGTCATCAGAAGAGACCGGTTCTCCTGTACGAAACAAACATTCACCCCGACGCGCTGAAGGCCGCGAGAGAGCCTCGCCCTGCGAAACTCCGACCTCAGGCCTCGGACATTTAAACTAGCTAACCAGAGAGACATTTATCTAACCGATGAGGGTTGTTTTCCTGAATTGAACATGGACGGGGTGAGGATACCGACCCTCTCCCCATCGAACCGTGGTCCATCTCAGTCTTGGGAGAGGCCACCTATATCCCAAGGGAAAGTCAGTTTTAGTGCTCTATAGAGGGAGGTGTGAACAAAAACAAAGACCCTCTTGTTTAATTTTTTTCAATAGCCGGTGACATTTTGAATGAGGGAATTGCCTCATCCAGTATGACCCAAGTCTGTTTAGCCCCCGTTCCAGTTCTTATGACTCTTAATTCTCTTTTGGCATCGGGGAAGTTTTTTTGATCTTCGATGAAGGTATTTTAAATCCTTTATCCTATTTCCGTAGTCACGTGCTTTATCGGCTTGTGCAGGGGATATTTTGCAAACTGCTTCGCCAGAGTTGAATATCTGCTTCGGTCTTTTTCATTTTTTCTGATGAATCCAGCGTAGGTCTTCTCGGTCTCTTGTTGTGGGGGTGGGGGCATTTCCGGAGTTTTAATTGGGATTTTTACTGAGAGGGATTGGGGGATGGGAAAAGAATGTACATGGAGTGGCCTCTCTACTAACGGGGATTGGGGGCTGGGAAGAATGTGATGGGTCAGAGGATGTGGAGGGAATGGCCTTTTTAATAGAGGAGGAGAATTTGTGCTGACTAGAGGTAGAAGCCTGAGATGATTTTGATGAATGTTGGGCAGTGGATGTAGAGGGAAAAGAAGATTTTGAGATCCACTGTCGGTCTAGTTTTTGTTTTAATTTTTTGAGTTTTTCGAAACCAAGATCGTATTTTTTTAAGATCATCTAAGGTCTTTTTGGAGTGGGGTTGTTCGTGTCTTTTGTCTCAGACGCTTCAGGGGACTGAGGACTCGCTGTCTAGCGCTTCCCTCTGGACCTGCCTGCTACCTCCATTCCTTCTCTCACCTCCCATAACTGCACTAGCTTCGGAAGAAGGCTCTTCGGGGAATGGGGGCTTAGGTGTAGATGTAGGACCAACCAGGGGTTTAAGCACTCCGGTCCCGGTGGCTGGCATGCTCATCACAGGCGTGGCGTATTTCAAAGACGCGACCAGAGGTGGGGTTTGGTCGACTGGGGCCTGACTTCCAGAGGCCGTCCCTGGTTAGGAAGAGGAGCGGTGACCAGTCTTTCCGCACTTCCACCAAATTGGTTTACGGCCGGTCACTATGACCGGCACCTTCAGGCCCGCAACATCCAGACAGTTGGGGTTTGAGATATGATATCAAAACTCCATCCCCCAGTCAGACTATCGCAGGAAGCCCCCATAATTTCTCCGTACTGAAACAAGGAAGCCGATATGTGTTCTCCGAGAACCTGAGGAGGGACCTTATATATAGCTAAATCTGTCTCCTGCCTTCATACTCTGTTCCGAGTATTAGATCCTTTGTAATTAATTCACGGCTAGTTGCTTTCACGCAATATTCAGCTGTGGATAGCAATACGTCCCACATGAAGAAGCCTTTGCCCTTAACAATACGAAGTGGCTTAAACCCCAGGAACTCTAGTGTGTTAACCACTGTGTCTTTCGTCGAACGAAAAAAAATTTGCACGTACGCATGTCGACGACAAAAACCGACACAATTCATTTATCGATATTCTTCAGTTCCATGGTGTCCTCCAAGAGTCCACTTTCTACCACAAGATGTGCGTAACTCTTGGCATGCTCCAAGAATTCCGCAATTTTGATGATGCATTTAGGTGGGGGCTTCCAATCATTGCCTCAGCGGTATTAATGGACTTGTCTTTTTGGCCATTCTTGCCCTCCATAGTCCTTTTTGATTTTTCATCATTATTAGCCTTCGAACTCTTTTGGGGTTTTAGGGTTTTTACTTGGCCATTATTTCTAGATCACAACCAACGTACTTCTCATTAAAGGATGAAGAATCTAACGGTGGATATTCATCAAGATTGTTCTTGTCAGAAGAGTCTTTTTTCGGATTGAATAAATGTTTCCTGACCGTCTTTCTAAAGTCAGCAATTTTTTTATTTCTTGTTAAGCATTAAAAAAGTATCTTTTTTCCTTCTTTTCTATTTTTAAAAAGGGATGGGGTGGGGTGCAAAAAGGAAAAAATAATTAATAAGTTTCGCTTATTGACGAGGCTAAATATAAAAGGATAATTAAATCACAAAAAATATAAAATAAAACAGTTGGACAAAACCTTACGCAAAATACAGACGAGAATAAAACGTTGAACTTTTAAAATGCGGACAAAAATTAAATATACAAAACAATCACAAATTTTCTTGAAAAGGACTATACACAAAAAAGTTTACACGTACGAAAAGGTATAAAAAATACACGAAGAAAGTTAAACAACAATAAATTACTACAGTAGTAAGACTAAAAACACAAAGAAAGAACGAGAAAAATAGGAAACTAACAAATGAACAAAATCAAGTATGGCCGCTGAAAACACCGAGTCAGGCTGTTAACGAAGAAAAACAAAACGGAAAAAACGGACAGATAAGACAACAATTACAAATACAAGAAAATTAAAACAAATATGTACAGAAAAGATTTAAAAAGCACAACACAGAAGACTTAACGGATATTTAAAAAGGAAAAAACGAAGAACGAAAAACAAAGAACAACAAAGAATGATATAACACGTAATAATGTAAACAAAGAAAAATAATGTCTGACGTAAATAAAACAGATAAACTGTAGGTGGGGATTCCAGACCATTTAAAGGAAACAGAAAATACAAAATCTTAATTTAAATTAAAAGAAAATCAAAAAGCTAATAATAAAATAATGAGAGGAGAAAAAATAAAAAGAAAATGGGGAGGGCGAAAAAGAAAAAATCAAAAAGCTTTTAAAAAATCAGTCAGTACAAAATTGAAACGTAAAGAAAAAGTAAAATCAAAAACAGATTTAACAGAAACGAAATAAAGATCACAAAATAATCCAGGTAATAGCACAAATATTAACGTGGCAAAAAACAGTCAGAAAAAGGTGTTGGAATAGAAAATTTATTCCACTTTATCAATACATGTGGAAAAAAATCAACTGCTTATATCTAAAGTCGATCATTGTTATTCCACTGTCAACAGGTGTGGAAGGGAGATGTCAATTACTACTGGATACTGCACAGAGGAACAGAGTTTGAATTCCACTCGAGTTGATTACACTCACATACATGCTTAGAACTTTTTGAAATGAATGAATCCATCTCTTCTCCCCCAACTATGGGTTAAAGAACATATAGACAGTGTCGTATAGCATTGGATGTCAATAATTGTAGAAGGACAACTCTGAATTCAAAACTTGGTTTATGGACCGAGAACGACCCACGCCATAGCCCGTCGTCTTCAGCTGTCGGTCAATAGCTTGGAGAGGAGATGGGCTCCTCCAATCTATCTGAAAGCTTATTGAAAGGATCATGGGCAAGTGTAATAAAAGACTGTTTCTTCTGTACTCCGTCACCCCCACGAAGTAGTCGAGAATTTTAAAAAAATTATAAAACCGATTGCTCGAAACTTCCATCTCATTTGTGCTCCCCAATAGATCTCCCTTGTGCCAGACTAGAAAAATCTTCCAAATATACAAGTAAAGCAGTTTGGTTTTTGTAAATGCCGAGCCTTTCCTGATCTTTGTAAATACAGACAGCTGCGGATATTCTAAGTATTCTGGAATATTTCACTATATATTAATGCATAAATATGTCATTTATGAACAAATGTATCCATAAATAAAACAAAATTTCATTAATGGAAAGAGATTAAAATTTATTTACTCAAAATAAACTCACGATTAATTCACTAATCTGTCACATTGTCGTAATAATGGCTGCCACACCTGTTCCTTTCTGCCTGACAATCATAGACATCTGCCGCTTGCTTTTATTTGTTAAATCCTAGGCATTCTTGTCGTAAAGGAAAATGAATCATGACAAGAACGAGTGTATTTGACTTTATATTAATTCTCATTTCGGTTGCCGCTTTCAGCTGAACGTTTCTCATTAGATAATTATGGGAAGCCAAGGAATTTGTAATTGAAAAGCATACAACCTAGATATTTAGAGCGCGATACAAAAGTGAAACAATATGGAATGAAAGCGAAAAGCGAATTGAATGGAATCTTTCGATTCAAGAAAAGAACACGCTGCCTATATGTGAATTTCCTGTACCTTTTAATTCTTATTCAGGAGATTAAGAATAATTAATGGAGTAAGACAAAGAAAGATCAAAAATAGATACGAGATTAATCGAAAGTTGATCTTCATGAGAAGGGATATAAAAATAAGAAAAAATATAAAGAATACGGAATAGTTTTAATGTGAATGATATCGACTGAGAGATATGAACAAATTCTACCAAATAGAGAGATAGAAATGAATAGACTTACATAGATAGATAGATAGATAGATAGATAGATAGATAGATATGAGTAGATTCAGCTAGATAGATACATAGATAGATACGAGTAGATTCAGCTAGATAGATAGATAGATAGATAGATAGATAGATAGATAGATAGATAGATATGAGTAGAAGAAAATAGGTATATATTTGTAACTATTTTTGTCTACCAGATGAGTAGACTGAGATAGATAGATAGATAGATAGATAGATAGATAGATAGATAGATAGATAGATAGATAGATATGAGTAAACGTAAATAGATAGATATGAGTAGATTGAGATAGGTAGATATATAGATATGATTAAATTGAGATAGATGGGTAGATATAACTGGTCGTAAATATGAATAGACAGATAGATAAAGAGATAGATATGATTAGACTAACAAAGATCGATAGATAGATAGATAGATAGATAGATAGATAGATAGATAGATAGATAGATAGATAAGAGTAAACAGAGGTAGATAGGTATATATGAGTAAACGTAGATAGATATGAATAGACTGAGTTAGACAGATGTATGAGACAGCTAGCTAAGTCGGAAGCTAAATAGCTAGCTAGCTAGCTAGCTAGATAGATAGATAGATAGATAGATATGCGTAAAAAAGAGGTAGATGGTAGATATGAGTTGACGGAAATAGATGGATAGATAGATATGAATACACTGAGATAGATAGATAGATAGATAGATAGATAGATAGATAGATAGATAGATCAGAAATTGATTAGAAAAATTCTTGTAATAGAAATATGCTACTGTTTTATACTTCTTCCTACTTGATTTTAAAACCTGTTTTCATTTATTTCAGTTATTTTTTTTCATTTCTTTCCTGTAACCTCACGTATTTCCCATGTTCCTCCTTCTCTTGCCTCTCCAT